CTTCTCGAAAATTATGTATATTATCCAATCAAATAGGGATTAAATGAAAAAAATTAAATATATCCAAAAGCTGAATCGTTAGCAGATATGTGACAATGTTGAAAGTTTGAATGAGAAATGCTGATCACAATATGGCAAAAGGATTAAAATCTTATTTCCATAGAATCTGCATATTACAAAGGCCAAGCACAGTAGTGGCAGTGTGATTATGTGGTCAATTTCTTTTTTTTTTTTTTCTTTCCCAAAAGCAAAGACCGAAAATATGGGTGACAGAACGCACAATAACACTGAAATTAAATCCTTAAAAATCAAAGCAACCTCCATAATCACCATTATTTTTACAAAAAGCTGAATATTTGAAATGCAAGTTAAAAGAGTAATCAAACATATTGTTCAAAGAATAATGTAATAAAGTAAATAGCATTAATATATGGTCAGAAACATGTATGATTTTCAGATAAAGCTATAAAAAACCCTTTAAGAAGAGCTTTTAGGGTAGAAGTCTGTAAAATAATAAAGGCTTGCAAAACAATGTGTGATTTTAGGAAGCAGAAATGAGTTTTTAGTGATTTACAAATGTCTGGAGGCTTTCATGAAACCACAAGTCTACCTGCCACAATTACGGGATATGAAGACATTTAGAAAATGTTACCTGTAATGGGCGTTGCAGTATTTCTTGGCGTAGTCTGTCCACGTTCCAAACCTCCTGGGATAGAGGGCATCAATCTGCATAAAAAGCTGTGAAAAGCACAAGGGTGATAAATTGTGACTTCATGCCAAACCAAATGCAACGTGAACATGTTCAAACAGAGATTATCAGCTTGTCTAATGTAGGAAATATTGGATTATAGCAACGCTGTGTAAGCTTTAGCCACTAGGGGTGCTAGACTGGTTGCTTCTAGATTTACTATCCCTGAAAGCAAATAAAAATATGTCGTATCAGGTAAGTTTAACAGCTGTTTTTGTCTTGTGTTTAAGGGGAACTCAGACTGCAGGTCACATGACTCAGTGAAGAAGTCGAACATTTTTTCTTGCCCACACAGACAATCCGTGCCCATTAAGTGCTGTATATTAACTTAAAAAAATTATTTCCTAAAATAATTGGGTCAAAACTTGCACAGTGTTGAGTTAGTAATGAATTAGGGTCATTGTGACCCTATTTCAGGGCTAAATGATGTCAGTGATGGGTTTTGATTAGCGGTGTAAATAATAATCGTTTTGTATCGATGCATCGATCCAACAGCCGAGGATCCGATGCATCGACACGTCCACAAGAGAATCGATTCATGTTTTTTTTTTTTCCTCCGGTCTATTTTTTATCCATTTGCTCCTGGACGTAATTCTCCCTCCCGTGCTGCGGTGGCGTTAAACCTATTTTGCCCTCCTACCGCGCTTCCTGGTTATACTCCTGCAGCAGTTTGTTGCAGTAAACTTCACACAGACATTTTTTATTATGCTCAGTATTTAAGCGTGGTCTGTGCTACACACTGTGGGTCTAGATACGGCCGAGGCGGTGAGGAAGTGGGGGCGAGCATAGTCTGAAAACGGAGGGACATGAGGGCCAAAAAGAGCGGGGATCCAGGTGAAAAAATGGTCCCAGCGTTCTCGAGCACCTCGCTCTTCTAGCGGGTCAAACTTCACGAGTTATTTTCCGCAATTTCGGTCATAAAAACAAAACAAGCCAGCCTCCTGTCTGCGGCACTGTCTGCGGTCAGCTACAATTTGTGAGAGGAGCAGCGGAGCGTCTGTGGAGGGGGCGGGGACGTCTGGAGCCGAGGTATTGCATTGCACTCATTGCACTGATTTTGTGCAGCATTTTTTGATGCAAGGCCTTTCAGAATCTATAACGCAATCTATAACCTCAGTAAATGAGGTTTTAATAGGAATAGGTGGAGTAAAACTTTTCTACTTCTGTTATTTGCTGTAGTTTCTCAAAAAAAAAAGAAAAAGCATAATGATATTACAGCTTTCATTGATTTATTTCAAATTTGAAACATTGTCTAGCCTGTAAGGTGTAAAAAAAAAAAAAAAAAAAAAAAAAAAAAATGAACCAATTCATGGAATAGAATCGAATCATATCGTGGTGTATTCTTGAGTATCGAAAATAATCGAATCGTTGGGTCAGGAAATCGATACTGAATCGAATCGCCATGATGAGTGTGATTTACACCCCTAGTTTTGATAAGGAAATAAGAGCCAATCTTTTAGTGTTGTCTAGTTAACTTTGACTTTGTGCCAATATGTTTCTACTTTAGAAACATCTGTTCCCTAAACATTGTTCTACAAAACAAACATTATTTTACAAAAATAAGCTGAACAGCTATATTTCTGTAAAAAATAAAAAATCTAGGTAACATCTCTAAAAAAGTTTTTTTTTTTTTTGCTTTCTCATAGTTTCCTGAAGTCTTACTATACTAGTTGGGGTTTGTATAGTCTAAGGTGGAGCTTGTTGTTTTTTTCAGAGTTTCTCTATGGAATTCTACATAATCAGCCATTCCCAAACAGCCTAAGGAGAAGCTCAAAATCTAAATTGTGTTTTTTTTTTCAACCAAATATTCTGATTGTAATTTTTAAAAATTTTGCTTTTCACTACCCAAAAACATGTCAGTGTTTCACTCCAGGGTTTTATTGTTTTCATGACCTTAACAGCTTGCTTGTCCAGAGTGCATGTTGCAGGACTTTACCATTACTGTTGTGTTGAAAAATGCCTATTTCTGTGCACATGCATGGATCTGGGCCATAGATGCAACTCTCTTCCCTTCTGTGAGGCAGCAAACACAATTTTAGGCATATTACATGTTAGTGTATTACTCTGGTTAATTGTAATGTGAGCAAACTTGAATGCCCCATTTACATTACCGTTTTCAAACCATACCGTCCGAGGACGGTAACCGAGAGAACTGTTGAGTGTAAATGGTACGCAGACCTGAACAAACTGCGCCAGACACAACTGAACCGCGCCAACATGGTACTAGTTCATCAGTAGGTCTCGGCGAGGCTCAGTTCTGGTGCGGTTCTCTGATAACAAAGAGAGCATGAGCAGACTGCTCATGAAATTTCAGACATTCATAAAAATACTAGTTCCCTACAGTGCCGCACGATTTCCAGTGATGATTCTGCTTTGCAGTGTGATGAACATCAACGTCTGTCGTTGTTTCCTGCATCTGTAAGCCCTGATTAGACTATTTGTCGTGTCCACACTCCAAAAGCCGACTCTGTCATGCAAATTCACCAAAGGCTGCCTTCTTCACCTGACTCTCTGCAAACTTCCTGAATGTTACAAGCGCTGCCATGTTGGTTTGCTTGTTTATCTCCAGGGAGCAGTAGTACCGTAGATCGCCACTAGGACACGAGGAACTGGGCTACCGTTGTGTGTAAACCGAGCTCGGCGCTGTTAACTGATTTAAACGGCACGAATCGGTTTTCAGAAGGTAATGTAAATGGGGCTAAAGAGTGCAGAACACACCACCAACTTTTTTTGCGTGTTTTTTTGGCGCAGCAATTCACAGATCTCTTCACCTGTTTACAACACAAACTTCTTCTCACCCTTTTAAGTAAGTGGCATCAAAAGAGCCTGGTGCGACCCGGGATGATGCTGAGAAAAAAGGTTCTCATTAAAATTTGGGCCGAGGACGCTATCCAGCCACATAAGTTCCTGAATGTTATGGCGCCGCCATTTTTGTTTGCGTAATTCCCGTCTTGAGAGCTGTAGTATCATGAACCGCCAGTAGGAGGCGAGGAACCGTGCTAGCATGATGTGTAAATGGTCATAAGAACCAAGCTTGGCACTGTTAACTGGGCACGGATCGGTTTCAGAGGGGTAGTGTAAATGAGGTATAACCCTTTGCATTAAAACTCTATTTTATAATTAGTCTATAAATTAAAGAACCTTTCAAAAACCTCACAATCCAGGGCTACAGTTGTTCCTGCTACTTGTAAATACTTCTTCCTTCCACTCAACTTTCTACTGCAAAAGGCAAGGCAAGTTTATCTATGTAGCATATTTTAGTAGCAAGACGATTTAATATATACCGGCATGCTTAGATATAGCCGTACCCTGAAAGGCCAGCTCCTTAGGCAATGGATTTTTATAACAGTCTTCCGCATGACGGAGTAAACCATTTTAAAGCATGTGCTTAAAATACCCCTTTATTGATCGTCTTTAAGCCCTGATCATCAACATTACCAAAAATCAATAACTAAGGCAGAGCAGTTAGGAATCTATAGAATTAATAAGTTTCACTTTTCAGGTAAATTACTGAAATACTCAAGGTAAAGAAAGCTATATAAAAAAAGTCGATTTGTAGAAATTTCAATTAGGTAATCATTTTTCAGATCAGCAGGGTCAAAACTTTGCGTTTAGTCTCAGTAGATGCTGAATTGAACTAATTAATGCAACGGCACAAATCAGCTCAAAAGTATGAAAGATTTTGAGATTCTTCAGCAAATCTGTCAAATGTTAACAGGTAGAGAGCGCGTCTACATCACAGCTGGCATCAGAGCCCCCGGAAAGAGTTTGACTCAGAGCGAACGCTCCCCCATCTCACCAATTTCCAGCGTTTCCGAAATAATGACGGGTAATATCCCGCGAGGTGAGCTGAATAAGCAGCCGCAGCCAAGATCGCTGTTCTAAATTCAGCACTTGTTCAACAGCAGTTTTGCATTTTCTCCCCTTCAGAAAGCTGATTTAATGGGGTGGGAGGAATGAGGGCACGTCACGAACGCTGCAACATGCCCTGGGCGCTGTGCGAGCTCCATGTTAGACCCACGGTGAGTAATGATGGCAGCAGAGGAGACTGGCACAGAGGAAGGGACAGGGCTTATCAGGTTTATGCCACGGATGATAAAATGTTATATTCGGCTCTAGTGGCACAGAAAGAGATGATATCTAAAAACTAACCCCACTACTGCAGGCAGGTACCGGCGAAGACAGGATGGCATTCGTCACACCGGCTGTAACATGCAGGCTCACCCTGCCAATAACACCCCTACTGCACATGTCTAACAAGAAATAACTTCCTTTCACTTTAGAATTAATTAGATGCTTGAATTCATCAGTTAATTATCGCCATGCAGGCAATAATTAAGTTTTTCACAGGACAGAGAAACAATACACCTGTTCTCCATAAACAACGCAGCCACCAAAATGTAATCTTAATCTCTGAGCATAAACTCAATCTAACAAGCAAACAAGCTACTTTAATTCTTCTATAAACAGTTTTTTTTATAATCTTTAAAGGAACGTATTGTTGCACTAACAAGAAAAACAGTATTACAGATGGCCTTAAAATCTTGTAGAAATATACAAATTTAAAATCGGCTTCTTCAGGGCAAAAGTTACATAAAGAAGTGGGATTTATTGCACTAAACATCCTCTAGTAACCATGTTTAATAATATTTTTTTTTACAATTTGCCAATGTTCCAGTGGAAAAACAAAAAAATCAAACAAGAAACATTATGAAATATTTTTTTAGTTTATTGTTTGGATGATAAATCTAAATTGTTTGTCAGGACTCCTGTTTTTGTGTTTCTGTGTTTGTCTCCCTTCATCCACCAGGAGGCGCCTGGTTCTGGTCCGCCTCCTCACACACCTGCTGATGGTTTCCTCGTTAACGGAGTGTTCTTAAGCTGCTGACTGCCACTACCTCGACGCCAGAGTGTTTGCCAGTTTAGAGTACTCTAGCCAAGCTGAGTTTTTGCTGAGTCAAGTTGAGTTTTTGTCAACCTGAGTTTAACCTTGTTTTGTCTTTGCCTCTTGGCAGGAATTCATCATGCAAACTGGATTTCTCGGACCTTCTCTCCCTGGAAGGATCAGCTGAGCTTCAAACTGAGCTGGGGTTCATACAGGAGGTTTGGATCCACTTTCCGTAAGATCGTTTTAGCTTCTTACTGAGAAAGGGATTATACTCCACTACGACCCGTTCAAGTACCGCAGGAAATCTGAGTGGCAGTCAGCTTCTCCGTTCCCCAACTATCAACCGCATTCTGGGTAAACCCTGTTCACCGAATCAGACAAACACTGGAACCACGGCACACAGACAGGAGTCAAGGATTCAACTACTTCTCTGGAAACGTGAGTCGGCAACCAAATCCTTTTCTCCAAGTTCACGAGTCAAACTCCCCACTGAGCCTGAACTAATCGCTGTGTCTTCCCCTCACATTACAGTTCTGCTTGAGCAGTGTTCAGAGCAACACTTCTCCCTCTGTTTAACTTCTTCAATAAAACCCGTTAAACCTTTTCCCTTTTCTGTTTCGGTTTTCTGCATTTGGGTCTGAACTTTGTAACATCATGACATTGTTATCATGACTAGAAATTGATCATGATAACATTAAATAAATGCTCACCCATATTAAAGAACAATAAAATATAAATTATCATCAATAATACGCAGGATGGGAATGTATGGCACACAAAATTAAACACTTTTTCTTACATTACAAACAGTGACTTCATGAACTCATTTTTGGGGGGATTTAACAATTATTAAGGCTTTTAGTCTTTTTCAGACAGTTTTCCTCCAATGTTAACGTCTGTATATGGAGGACCGACTCTGCCATATCTAAAAATAAATACAGATATAAATAAATGCTCAATAAATAAATAAGCATAAAGTTATTGCTCCCAAAAACACAATAAACAAATAAATGTAGGTAGAAATTAAATTACACAGCATTGGGTGGAGCTAGACTATCCTTTCTTTGCTTGTAACAATGGCAGCCATATTTGCTGTGATCAGTGGGTAAAAAGTAGTTTTAATATGTTTTTCAGTGAGAAAATCACCTGAAAACTTAATCTGTGCAGTCAGATCATCCAGATTACCATCCTGCCTTCAAATATTATTTCGCAGTCAGAGCCGCTCAGACTCCCGTACACCGGCGGAGTGCTGTCAGTAGGAATCCCACTAAACAGCAGTCTATGGCCCAGTCGTCTCTTTGCGGTTTTCCGCAGCGGCTGGAAGGCGTTTTTCATGTACGTAATCCAAACTGCAGGCACTAGGATAACAAAAGTGAACATGTTTTGCCGGCAGATTTCGGCATTTTAAGTTAATCTAGGCGTTAATAAACTGTTTCAGAGGAGTGATCATAGCGATCTGCAACATCAGCTCTGCGTCTGTCTCCCTGCCAGCTCCCAGATCAGCTTCTCTGATTGGTTGATGTGGCGAGTCGAGCGGCAAAAGTTCAATTTTTCCAACTCTAACAGCTGCTGTTCTTGCAGCACCTTATGTGCATCAGCTGCTCAGATGTGCTACAGGATGCATGTAAATATTCCGAGGGCTTGCTTGTAAACTAGCTGCTTCTGCTGCCTCTAGCGCTTGTGGTCTGAACGTAGCATTAGTTCTGCCATAGTTTTTACATCTTTAGCAAACAGATTTCACAAATGAGCTAACTTATACAGGGAATGGGTTGCCCCAGATTTCATTTAGGGGTAATAGAATGACAGGGTTATGCATGCTAAACCTATTTTATTTTATATAAAAAGGAAAATACATAGGAAAAAAACATGCTAAATGTTTCTGCCATATCACAATTATGCACTGATATGAGGGTATCCGGTTAAATCCAAATTAAACACAGAGTTTTGTGGTTTTAACACAAATAAAAGTTTAAAAAAGTTGGAAAACAATGTCCAGCCACCTTAATTAAGTTGGTCTTTACACAGATGCCGTAGGAATGCTGTTCAGGGATTTATGTATCATTGATTAAGATAGAAAAGTTCACTAAAACGGATGAGAAAACGCAACTGACGGATGAGTAGATCTTGCTTTTTTCCCCCACCATCGATCTCTTGCTCAGTGCTCATCACCCCAGAAATAAAACAGGAGAATATAAAAATGCTTCCATATTCAACAGAGATTTCAAAAAGCAGCATTTCATTTATACTAATAACCATTTATAGCACAAGCTTGGAGAACAATTATGGAGGCATTATAAAGAAATGTTCCTGAGGCTGGAGAAAAGAGTCTGGGAGGGGGAACCGCCCATCATTAGGGTAAACTGTGCTTCCAGTATATGCTGTGCTACTGTACCCTCTTCGCTCTGTATACGGGCAACATTTCCAATTCCCAAAGTCTTCTTTAATTTCCACACCAGCGATGATGGAATATGGCTGTAATCGAGCATACACCTGCAACCCTAACATATATAACAATGGCGTAATAAATCATTATGGAGAGTGGGGCTGCTCGCCTCAGCCACTCTCCAAACACAGTGGTCCTGTGAATAGCCCCCTGCTTATTGTTTCTAAATTCAATAGTTCCGCCCCCCCCCTCCCATGCTTCTTTTATTACTTGTCTCATTTATTGCAGCGCCGTGTCTGTTCATATCAGGCTTTGTAAATGAAGTTTTTGCAACAAAGGTTATTGAAATAAGACCACAGGATCCAGAAGGATGAGTGACGCCAGAGAGAGTTAATTGGCTTTTTCCAACATTAGATGGGAGCGTACGCCGCTCTGGAGTAAGTTTCCATGGCGATCTACCTGCTCTGCTGAAATGAAACACCTCTGTATGGAGATATATTTGAGCTGGCCCACTACAGACTCCCGTCCTAAGAAGGAGAATTTCATAATCTATTTGTCCACATAGCTTCCTTTGCCTTAGTGAGGTAGTTAATTATCAATCGACCAAAATATACCGGACTTTTTGACGAAATGTGCCATTTCTGTTTCATATTTGTGGTATAAAAAAAAAAAAGGAGCCTCATTTAAATGTGTCGTCTTTCCTCAAGAGGGGTCATTAAATTTTTATTCAATCAAGTCTGATTACCTCTTCGGGTCGACCCAGAGCAGGGGTACCGGTGAGAAGGATGGCCCGCTTTGCACTCTGAATGAGAGGGACCAGGATCTTGGTCCTTGCTGCGTTCCTAGATTTGAGGTAATGAGACTCGTCGACCACGATCACATTAAATCGTTGCCTGCTCAGAGCCTCCACTAAGGGGCGTGCGTCAGTGGTGAGCAGGCCATAACCCAGCACCGTCACCTTGCTGCTGCTGATGCCCCTGTGGAAGAACAAAAACATACAGGAGGACATTGTTTATTAGGTTACCCGTTGAAATTGCATTGTTCCATTCTTGCAATAGATCAGCTTAAATAAGTATAAAAAAACTTCACTATTTCTCATGGTAAAAATATTTCTTTGAGCGCAATTGGCATGAAATTTTCACCAGGTGTTTTTTACTCCCCAATGAATCCATACATAGAAAGAAACTAAAACAAAATGAAGTGTAATAATGTAAAATGGAACGGGTGAAAAATAAAAAACTCACAGAAAGGGAAAAACAGGATGCCAGCTGAAATCTATCAGTGATCAGACAGCTATTCTGCTCCTCGTCAGTGCTAATAGATACCAGCTGCTTCAGTCCAAACTGATAGCCAATAAGAAGGTGTGTTATGACCAACAGAGGAAAGGAGCAGATATGAAAACCAGGAAGGGTGGAGGACTGTTTGGAGGTTTGCATAAACCAGAAGGAATTAATGGAAATTAAATGGAGGGGATGATTTTTAAATAATCTAGAATGAAAAGAACATATAAGGAAAGGCAAGAGAGAGATCAGAGTTGGTAAGGTGAAAGTGAGATTAGCAGTGAAACAAGTAAAAAGACGAAAATTTATACGAATCAGAGGACTTGATCGAGAACAGATTGAAATTTGGATAAAGAGTTGAAAGTGGTTTGTAGAGTTGCAAAGAGAAGGGGGACATTTTTATCAGATTAAATTACCATATTTCCCGGACTATAAGTGGCTACTTTTTTCCCCACGCTTTGCTCATAAGAAGGTTCGGCATAGATTTCTCCTAGCCGCAAAGGGGGGAGGGGTCAAATTTGAAAATGCCACTGAAATCCTCAGTTCTCCAAGATGTAAGAAAAATAATCACGTGGAAGACTGTGATGTGACATGAGAAATGTTATCCCTTCAAGAGCAACATTTGTTTGTTTTTTTAAGTGTGACTACACAGTGAACAGGGAGAGTTTGAAACATAGAATACAGTCATGTTATACAAGGATATCAGGCAATAAGATTAAAAATAAGGAATTCTGTTTTTCTATGATAGGTTTTTGCAGTGCTGCTCAATGGAGCAGTGGGTAGCACTGCTGCCTTGCAGCAAGAAGGTTCAAAACTAATATGGGTGAGTAGGACATGATGTAATAACGTAAAATCAAGGCCACAAGGTGTAAAAGAAAAACGGTGTTCCCCTTTAAGCCACATGGTAAAAAATGCATTAGAAAATATCACCTACTGCACCTTTAAGCCTGTTTGTTTTTGCCACGACCTGGATAACTGAAAATNGAAGAAGAAGTAGTATTTTTAATTTTTTTTTTAGACTTTAGAAACTCAGAAGCTGATCAAATATCGGGTTAAATATCGGTGGGGTGGCCGATGTCCGATATTCTTAATGTCCGATACCGATAGGGGGCCAATTATATCGTGCATCCCTACTCATGACCAAAACTACTGGTTAAGTATAGTAATAATTCTTCAAAATCAATGAACCACAGTCTAAAACTGTTAAAAACAACATCAATAACTACAATTATAAAATGTTATAGTCCTTAAGCACTTTACAATTAATATTTGTTGTTTAGTTTAATTTCTGAAGTGAATCTCAAAACCCAAACAGGTTGATAAAGGATCCCAAATGGGTTCATGACCCTAACTTTGGGAATTGGTGTGTTAGAGATTAGATTAGATTAGATTAAATTAGATTAGATAAGTTTAGATTAGATTCAACTTTATTGTCATTACACAGGTACAGGTGCAAGGCAACTAAATGCAGTTTAGTGCAGCAGCAGCAAGTGCAGGATAAATAATGGTTCTATAAATATAGGACATGGGTTTCTAGTGAATGAGTATAGAGATGAATACCTTTATAAATACTGAATATAATATATAGATCACTGGTGTTATGAACTAAATTTACAGCTGGATATGTACCAAATATAATATACAGATGGATATTACTATGAAAAGGGTTTTTACAGTTATGTACAATAGCATATACAGTATACAGATGGGTTTTACTATAAAATGAATAAATAAAGTTTGGCCGGAGCTATCTAAATTAAAGTGCAGTGGAAGGTAATTGCATATTACAGTTAAAGTACATTATTAGAAATGAATATGTAAACAATTGGTACTGTGAATAAACAGTCGGCAGTGCATTGCATATTATATACTCCAGTTAGCGATTAATCGATTGCTAAGTTAGATGATGTTTATTTCAATAATTTATTAATCAGGATTAATCCAATTAGTTTTTTCAGCCCTAATTTAGATGTGGATGCACTTTACAAAGGCTGGGAGAGAGCAAGGTTTTTAGCAGATAACAGGAAGGCCAAATGGAGTCCAGCAAAATTTCTGTCTTTTAAAATGTTGTGCTTAAGACCAGTGCAATGAGCTGTATGGATATATCAATTTAAAACCTCTGTTTCTTATCTTATTTCATAGACTTTATTTCAAACAGAGTCATAGATAACCTCCATAACAATCCTGCCGCTGGGGTGACATTCTGGGTATCCGTTAAGGCGAGCTTACACTGTATAAGGTTTTGCCCTTTTAGGGCTATTTTCAAATCATGGAGCAATTTTTTGGTATACAGGGAATAACAAGAGGAATCTTAAGTTCGGGAGAAAATAAAACATGTCTGAAATTCAGTCAGCCCTCGTGCGATGTTCTTGAAGCAGAGTTACGAGCTTCTACGAGCTGATGTACCTGAACCTTCAACACTGCACATGTGTAAACAAGGGAGTTCTTCTTATTCTAGACTGACGAGTCCGACCAGTGCCAACTCTCGCCGCTGAGTCCGACGTGTGGTTTTTAGATCGCATCAGGGCATCGGGCCATACAGTGTAAGAACATACCTCGTGATCTGGGAACTTTTAAACCCTGCGCTTCCGTCATACAGTTTGAGTTGTAGCTGAAAATATCGTAAAGTAAATGTCCGCCATTAGACTTGATAAAAGTTTTGCTGTTGTATCCATTTCATCAGGAAATCCTGATCTACCCATCATGTAATGTCCCATTACCTGTTAATTGCTAAGTTCCACCGCTCAGCGCCATGCAAACCTGAAACGCTAATTCTAAAAATCTCTATGCAGCTGATAATGGCGCCAGGTGAAGCTATTTTGATCCTTTGACGTCTGCTGACTTTCACTGAGTGTTCCCGCTGACTGTGGGGCTCTTCAGGGACTGCCCGGTGATACCGCCGCTCAACCTATGCCGGCTGGTCCCTCTAGACGTGTCGGCTCCTTGCAAATCCCCCTATTTACTCAACCATCATTGCCACCATTTTCCAACCGAAGGTGAGCTCTTATGTTAGAGAACACAGCTGGATCTCAGAGAGAACCTTGAATACAGTAAATAAAAGTGGCCAGCAAAGCAATTATCCCCCCTGCTGCTATTTAGCTCTGAAATAACTCCATCATACCATCATTACTGTTATAGCTCCAAGTTTACATTCTGCCATTGATTTGCTAAGCCTGTTATTTGAGTTTACCCCCTAATGAATTAATATCCACTTGTTCTTGTCTCAGCTTCTATTTATTTACCTATATTTTCCTTAAGACGAGCTCAGTATCCTTTTTCTGGTGTTGACAGTTGCTAGAAAAAGCCCTGCTGACAGATTCTTCTCTGCGTTTTTTTATCTGAACGCTTTGATGGTTTGACACGCTTCAAAGATAATCATAGACTCAGGAGGAGTTGGAATCAAGTCTGTTACTGAATTATGTTACAGGGATTACTGCAGTTTCTCTAACAAGTGTCATGTTTTTCCTCTGCTTGAGGCAGATTACCGTCAGCTCTGTGTTTGTTTATCATCTAATCTGTCTAAGGCGCTCGTACAACATGGAAGATTGGTTGCTTTGCACTTGGAAATGAGTAAAAGGAGCATGTCAGTTATCTAAGCAACCATTGCTGAGAAGGATTTTCCATGGGAAACCAGACTCCTGTGATTTTAATGAGGTAAAACCTGAGCTGTTTTTTGCAGGAACTCTCTTTCTCTCTCCCAGTGCAAACCATTAATAACACAGAAGACATCTTCGACAGGGAGGGGAAAACACGGTCTGTTGTGCGTTTTCTTTCCGACTCGTAGCAGAGATTCTTTTGCATTACATTAGCAGAGTGAAAAACAAGGTGAGGGCGTTGCTTGGAAACCTTTCTTTTAACTTAGAAAAAGGTAAAACCCGGCCATTCATATCCCTTTTTTTCATCTTAAAGGTAGAAGGACGTCTATACTCTTGCCGCTGACTAAACTGTTTGTCAAAATATATTATCACCCTAGGAGAGCTGAAGCTAAAGACGCATCCTTTGCATATTTCTTGTTATGTTTCTGATCAATTGCTTTATAAAGATTGAACCTTCTGCTTTCTACCACAGAACAACCACAATTCTATAATTAGACCTTTAGTGCAGCATTCGATATTGCCGATCACTCTATTTTATTAGAGCGCCTGGAAAACTTGGTCTGCCTTTCTGGTCTAGCACTGTTTAAATTCTCCTCAAAGGACCGGGACTTAATGTGTCAGTAGGCAGAGGTGGAAAGAGTACTAAAAAATTGTAATTGAGTAAAAGTATCTTT